TGGCATATTGATCAGAAAGTCGATTGATTATTGATTGACTGGTTGAAGGGATATAAATGAAGAGTTTTTGTATTAGATCTTTAGTTATCATTATAAAAAATGAATACTAACTGGTGACAAGAAGATCACTTGATTAAGTGTGTGTGATCAGTTAATTAGTGTTGATCCATGTAAAGACAAATAGATTATTATATATATAATATAGTTATGTACAGCTCAAACAGGCCAAAGTTGACCTATTCCGCTTACACGACAGTCATACTCATTAATATTAGCAATGGCGACATGCCTTACAATGTCCCAATGACAATGGCTCTTGAAAACAATCAAAAGCAACCAGCAAACCAATTTTGTGCATGAACAGTCAGCAAACGTGCTAAAGTAAAGCCGAACCATTCAAAATATGAATGGCGAACCTTCAGTCTCATATGAGACCTTCACTGCTACATAGCAATATAGCCCTAAGTAGATTACTTTTCACATAATAATTATTACTAAAATTTATATGTGAGCATTCTTCAGGAAGGCAGTTTTCAACATATACTGACAAGTGTTAAGAATTGAAGTGCCATACAGTCCTATCCTTTCCTAGTTTGGGAATGTTTAGCCGTAAGTATCTATGACTTGGTATGGGAGTATGGGACAGTATCCAGCCCTTATACAAATCGAATGATTTATGTAGCGCATATCTATTTGGTGCCTTCTTGTACCAATGTTTATGTGTTTCAATAATAATAATAATAATAATAATGATAAGAATAAACACATAAAACTTATATTTGACAAATGAGATATTATCAACGAGATGAACTGTATGCATGTTGTAATGCTTCTTTTGTTCGATTGTTTTATTAATCTGTTAACTACTTACATAATAATGAATGTTTTCTTTCTTGCTAATCAGTTTATTCCTTTAACTTCTTCTTCTTGTTGTTGTTGGTAACTTTAGCGGATTTAATTAAACAAATACATACAGATATATGTGAAGCTAATTTATTCCTTGATAAATCAGAAGTTTCATTCTGGAGTAAACATGATTTGTTCAATGAGAAAACATCGATGATCAACTATAAATGTACCAAACGGAAACACATTCATTATATCTTCTTCTATAGAAACTAATCAATTGTATATAGAATAGATTTATGCGCGGATATGTAAATGATAGTTGATGGTGGTGTGCAATGAGATCAACCCCATTTTGACTGATTTGATTTTTTATATAGTTTTCTTATTATTATCATTATTGTTCTGGCACGTTTTAACTTGAATAGAACTGTATTATGGTTTAATAATTTAGTTGTATTATCCATATATCTATCGGTTAACAAGCAATCGCCAATGATGTATGATACATATATATATATATACTAGCCAATTCTCTGAGTTGTTTTCTGACATTTCTAGATTAGAAAGGGCAAAAAACAGTGTAGGAAGTGTTATTAATAATCTGTCAGTACTTATATTTCTCATGTATTTATTTATGTGTAGTTAAGGCGATCTAAATAATACCAAAATCTGTTTTGAAATATGAATTAGTGAAGGATCTATTTGCCCATATTATGTCTTATTCTCATATTTGTATGCTTGCTGTGTAACTTTGATACACCCCATGTTCTAGGCTTAGTAGTCTATTTATGAATATGCTTATTGGTCAATTGAATAATTGTGATATGTACAACATTCCTGCATGTTGAGTCCACAACATCAATCTCAGCTTCCGCAATACGAATAGTGTATTTCAAGCATACTGGTTCATGTACAAGCCAAACAGACCACATCGTACCATAAAATAGAAAATAATATATGTACAAGATCTAGCCAAGTGTGGATGTGAATATGGGGGACTGTAATTAGTAGACTGGGTACAACTCAAGAGTGGTAAATCGTATAGTAATAGTCTGTAGGTTGAAATAAAGCTCATAATACGAGAAACATGAATATGCGTAGTTTAGTTCCTTAACAATTATACAATAAAAAATATATGTGTAGTTATTAGTCCAGAAATAGATCGCAACAGTTACCATTCATTCTTCTCATTGGGATATAATAGATACTTAGCACAATCAGTCCTGTGTGGTAGTGAAAGTAAAGTATGATTAGTCGTTGAGTTTGGGCAAACAACTACAGTCTACGGATTAATAAATATGTGATTTTCCTTCCTGTCATTGATTTCTACTCCAGACTCATTGTATGTGATTGCTTGTAATTGCATTAAATAAAGTATTCTCTAGTGTTAACCTGGTTCTCTATTTTGGTTCGTGAATCCTGGTCTGATCTAACGTAATTAGTCTTATTGGTGTATTAATTTATTATTGTCATATACGTGTAATAGAGGAAAATATCGTAAACCATCTATTACATCATATCCAGAAACAATAGTCACTTAATCACAACAAGTAACCATTAGAATTTGTTTAAAAGTTCTCATCTCGAGAGAAAGATGTTCAATATCAGTAAAACAGTTTGTGTTGAATTCCACATACGTTTTATGATATTTCTCTGACAAAATATTTGAAAAGTAGTTCAATATCTTTACTGCAAACAAATTATTTAGTATAATACTGTTAAGTTCGCTACTTGATTAACGCGGAATACGGTTTACAACTACGACACTCGAAGGTTGGAAGTTCACCGTCGCAAATCGGAAGACAGAAGAAAAGCTAAGGCAGTGTTTATTTGGTAAGAAACGAAATGTATATGAAATCACGGGTATTTATAGATATTAGCATTTGTTAAATCAACATTATAATTCGGCCAATCCGTAAAGAGACATATTATGCTACTGTCAATACCGACATGTGATGTTGATATTGTAGAAAGCTCCATCGTGTTCGGATTGGATAGAAACACTTCGGCTCCTTCAGGGCCTCTAGAGGCTCCGTTGTAGTTCTCGGATTCAACAAATACATTTTGCACTAAAGTCATTTATCATGCCCATCCACGTTATACGATTTTCAATGTGTCAAACAAAATTCACCCCAACATTTGAATTTATTCAAATCACCATTTCAACAAGATCCACTTCCTCAAACATTGTAGTACAAGTGGATATGTGTTTGTGTGTGTTTATAATGAGAAGAAAAAGTTTATCAAAATCATGTGATGATATTAACTCAATACATTTCGAACTGCCATCCGATCAAACATTGACCTTATATTAGAAATTTATGTAAGAAATGGGAGAGGTTACACCAGAAAAATTTGCACATGAAAACAACAAAATTCAAACACATTACTTGTAACATCTATAGTACATAAATATAGAGGGATGAAACTGGGAGAAAATTACCATCAGGAATGTCAAAATTTCATCACTGATTCGATCGATAATTCACTGTTCTCTAATTGGCGGTATCGTTATGTTATACATTAACAGGGCACCTAGGCCACAAGTTGTAACACCAATTATAAAGGAATCATCACTTCATACAAACAACACAGCAACTCAATTACATAACCATAACACATTGCAAATAAGACACTACATTGTGTACATAAGTAGGTTATTTATGGTGCAAAACAGAGCTATGTGTTTATGATGAATTCGCTATAATTTAGGGACAGTAAAATTCATTACAACAGTTAATGAATAGAATGAAAGCTTATAGTGATATCCGTACAAAAATATCTCAAATCAAGTATTTAACAAATATACAATACAATTACGTGTGATAATTCTTCATAGAATCGTTTTAAAAGTTCGATTATTTCCAGTTATTCCTATCCGATGTAACGATAATATCAACTTTATAGTCTTGTGATCCCATGTTTACACTGTCAAAGAATTCACAGTTTTGTTCAGTACCTTAATTTCCTCTAAAGTGTTTGAAGCAATTTTTTGAGTAAACGTAAATGTTGGTTGCCCAACATTAATATTCATTAAGAAATCTATATATGAAATAGTGGACAAAATTCTGATCAGCGCTAAAACCAGAGTAAACATGCAATTGCTCACTACTCAATTTATTCATCGTAAACAAATCATTTCTACATCAGATCAGTCTCAACCTGAATATATCAGTGTTAACGTCTCCGATTGGGGAATCGAATAAAGTTGGTCCGAGTTCCGCGAAGAACATCATTTCTCTTCATATCATTCATATACCTTGTTGAACAGTATCAGTAAGCACGATATTTAGATCAGGCAAAGCTTTCTAAAAATGTCTTCTACCTAATAAGGCTCAAGGAAACCCATAAGCCTAAATTCTGGGTCTATGAAAATTCATTTCTTTCTTTGATTTACGTTAAAAATGAACAATAATGAGAGCCGAAAAATGAATGTATACATATTAGTTTAGAGAGTTATGAGGGTTGACAGGTTTAACAGTTCAAAATCGTAGACTTACTTCATTCAAAGAGCCACTGAAATATGAAAAGCATAAGACAACTACTTCATCTTCATATGGAACTCCTCATCGATATACATATACGGCTCCGCTAATGATCAAACTCATAACCATCAGGTTTTCTTGTCTAGTTATTTTAGGGAATTATTTATCACTACACATCCATCAAAGTTGCCAATTCTATAAGGATATTAATGTTAGTAAAATTTTTCTTGATAGTTGTTTATTGTCTACTGGATAAACACTCGTGACCAGTGGAGCTAATTTGTGTCGCGTAGAGACAGGTATCTACCTCAGTACAATGGAAGATGGTCGCGCAATTTCGTGGATTGGTTGAGGTTAGACATCAACACCTTTGGATGCCGACTCCATGGTCTAGATGTTAAGCGTTCGCGCGCGAGAGACTGAAGACCCTGGGTTCGAATGTCGCGAGCAGGATCGTGGATGAGCATTGTTGTCGTCCAGTGCTTCCAGGTTTTCCATGGTGGTCTAGCCTCAATTGACTCATGATCTCAGCAACTGAAATTACTAAAATCTCCACAAAACCCACTTTTGATAGTACTCGTTTATTTACTTTTTTTGTGACGACAGTCTTATTACTCACTTCTCCATTACTATTTCACATGTTTAAGTTACATTTGGAACATTGTGTTATGACATACCAAATATTCCGAAATTTAATTGTTGAATACGATAGATTGCAGCTTCTTTATCATTATTGATGAGTAAATAAATTTTCCTTCACAAATGCACAATTACAATTAAATAGTTGTGAAAAGGGTTCAATGGAAATGAATTTAGTCCATACTTATCATAGACTATGTGGTGTACCAATGTTACTGTATATAAATATATGAACTGAGTAAAATAATTTGAGCAAAGCTTATTAGTAGCATCATATTATTCATTCAAAGTTTAGTGAGCTTACACTTACACGTAGGTGTATACTGGTTCGGACAAGTATAAGGGAAGATATTGATATGGTAATTAACTAAGGGAATCTGATTGCAATAAATATTGATTTTTACTCGTTCAAATGGTTGATAATGTGTGTTTTTATTCATGTATAATTTGTATCTATGTGTATGACTACTGTAGGAGATAAAAACCAGCTTCTAGTTGAACGGCAGCAGTAGGTCTCAATATACACAAAGGGAAAAGCAAGACTCTCCGATACAACACAGAATGCACCAATCCAATCAAAATTGACGGAGAAGATTTGGAAGATGTAAAAACCTTTACGTATTTGGGCAGCATCATTGATGAACAGGGTGGATCTGATGCAGATGTGAAGGCGCGGATCGGCAAAGCAAGAGCAGCATATTTACAACTGAGGAACATCTGGAACTCAAAGCAACTGTCAACCAACACCAAGGTCAGGATTTTCATTACAAATGTCAAGACAGTTCTACTGTATGGGGCAGAAACCTGGAGAACTACGAAAGCCATCATCCAGAAAATACAGTGTTTATTAACAGTTGTCTACGCAAAATACTTCAGATCCATTGGCCGGACACTATTAGCAACAACGTACTGTGGGAGAGAACAAACCAGATCCCAGCGGAGGAAGAAATGAGGAAGAAGCGCTGGAAGTGGATAGGACACACATTGAGGAAAGCACCGAACTGCGTCAAGACAAGCCCTCACATGGAATCCTGAAGGCCAAAGGAAAAGAGGACGACCAGAGAACACATTACGCCGAGAAATGGAGATAGACATGAGAAAAGTGAACAAGAATTGGATGGAACTAGAAAAGAAGGCCCAGCAGAGAGTTGGTTGGAGAATGCTGGTCAGCGGCCTATGTTCCACTGGGAGTAACAGGCGTAAGTAAGTAAGTAAGTAAGTAAGTAAGTAAGTAAGTAAGTAAGTTGAACGGCAAATTAGAAAAAAAGACGTTGGAGGTGGATAGAACATACAATACGGGAATTATTGAACTGTATCACAAGGCAAGCGCTTAACTGGAATCCTGAAAGGAAACGGAAAAGAGAAAGGCCAAATAACACATTGAGTCAGGAATTGGAAGCAGACATGAAAAGGATGAATAGCAACTGGAAAGAACTAGAAAGGATTGTCCAGGACAGAGTTGGGTTGAGAATGCCTGTGGGCGGCCTACTCTCTTCTACGAGAGGTAAGAGGTGTAATTAAGTGAGTAAGTATGATTAATGTTATGTTTGCTTGTTTAATCGGATTAAATGTTTGGATGACGTAGACGTGATAAAAAAATTCACGGAACGAATAATGGCCTATCAGTCAACCAATCAAACCTTATCATGTCATCCGCATACATCACAAAACCCATGTTTCATTCAATCTCTGTACTTTATACTATTGGTCTCTCGAGTCGGAGTGTTTGAAATACTACTAATCCGTATTAAACATACTGATATCATGTTGCCATCTGTGACCACTCATCAAATGAGATATTTCTTCAAAGTAAAAAGTATGAAAGTGATCACGATTATAGAACACTCGGACTCTTCATTTAGGAGAGTTATGACGCCTCATGGTGAATGCCGAGATCCTTCGGAAGTCACGACGTTCCGTCCTATTGTGTGACTCCACAGAAGTGCGACATGGGTTCATGGATGTGCACTAACGAGCAGTCCCACAATAAACCAAAACGGCCGTTCAGTGGTTCCAGGTTTTCAATGATGGTCATACATCAATCGGTTCATGATATCAATGAGGAACAAGACTGTTTTTCTATCTCCTTCTTTCTAGCCCACTAACTTCAGTAAGAACTTCATGTTTGTTTCAAACATTTTCTTGATAGAGATCCTCAAAATAATTGAATTATATTCAAGTATATTCACATTATATATTAACTGACCTAGTGATTATTAATTTATGAATTGAATTCCCTCGGAATTAGTTCATACAAAGGAAATGCATTGTTAGTTAAGTGAGTGGAAATCGTTGTAAATAAAGTTCAATTGTCTTCCTGATATGTTGTATTTGAGGATTTAGAAATGTAATGCAAGATAATTATATAAATAGAAGTAATAAAGGCGTATGTTATTGTAGTAGATTTTTGTATAAATAAACTACTTGCTATTAGTGAGTAGTTTATTTTAAAGGTTAAACTGTAGCTCAGTGGGTTTCGACCTTGTTCTGAATAAATGTACCATACTCGCTGACTGAAAAGGAAGAAAATGTTTTAGATTTTCACATGTACATTTATTATGAGTACACATTACTTAATTAGTTGTTCATGAATACGAAACAGACACAACTACTTGAAATGCTAGTCGAGTATTGACATATCACGTACCTATACTCACTCACATGTCGTCTAAACGTTAGTTGTTAGGTGGAAAACTATGAATAGACTCAACTACTAGAGAAAGTTGGTCAAAAGTTACTTCAATGTTTTAGGCTTAATGCTTTGGTCAGAGAATGGCAATCATGTATATTATTATGGGGGATTTGTGAAGATTGTAATATTTCCACAGTTGAAGTCTTGAACTGTTCTTAGCTACGCCACGATTAGAAACCTTAGTATTAGGCTATTCAGAGGTGAGCATTGACAACTTCATACATCAGATTCGCAGCGAGGATCTTCGATTGAATTCTTCACAGAAGATCGATAGTAGTTTTCTCAAATTTGATTAACATTTTACTGTGCTATACTTTATTAGGATCTATTCAATTAAGCAACTAACAGATCAATGTTCAAAATGAAAAGATCTTTTTATTATTTTTATATGTAGGTGTGTATAACTTTATTGTCATATTAAGTTAAACTATATAAATATATTATTAGAAGGAAGTTGGTCTCGTGACGTCGGAATAATCTCGGCTTCACCATCAAGCATCACAGATGTGGTGCAAGATCATTCTTTAAATTCCAGGTCAGAGTTCGTATGCTAAAATTTGTTTATTGTGGTTAGCATATTTTTAGCGACGTTGCTTTCTGAACTATGGAAATGCTGACTTCATGTTAAACCCTCCTCATTTACTTGGATATATGATCGACAATAACCTTAGACGAGCTACAGGAATGATTTGAATAAACATTTATGTGCATTGTCTAGCCAAAGCGGTCTCGTGGTAATTGCAGTCTTCCGTTGCTATGTTTGAAGCCATTACGAGTTCACTTAATCTGCAAACGAGCATTAAGACTCGGTGACCAAAGACCAATAAGCTAGATATTCTGATGCTCCCCAGCCCGGCTAACTAGAGGAAGAAGTCGAAGCTTGGAATGGGGAAGTTCATTCTGCAAACAGCCAGAAACCAGCGATAACAATAAACACAAATCAAGCATACATCTGTATAATAGTCAAATGTGTTCATCCAGAATATCGGCTAACTATGAGTTTATCCGTCACAGTGATTGGAATAAAAAGATACACAGAATGTGCTGTGGATTATTTAATCAGGATTATTCTCCACAGTCTCCTTCACCGATATACACAGGACGTGATAACTAGACGAGTTTTAAAGAATCGAATATATTAATGGACGTTTCACAGTTTTATAAATCACGGACTTGAAACTGGATGACTTTCTGAGAAAACGACCACTACAATCATTTGAAATTAATTGGTGAATGGTTACAGTGTTTATTCATAGTTGGAGCAACACCATCTATGAATTGACAACCAGAACATTTGCTTTCACTTCATCTTCTTTTTAGAAAAGTAGTAATAATTTGTAAAATGAGAATTTCACTCATCTTTGATGTTTAGGGCAGGTGATTATCGGCCAAATAAACAACTTATTATTAGAAAGCGATGTTGTTTTATTCTAAGGAAGACTGATATTACACCCACGATAAAGAATAGAGAATACCATATTATTTGATTATTTGAGATGGAATGAGGTGATCAATGATAAACAAAGTATAATCATAGCTGATTCTATAAAAAAAAAAGAGGTCAACACAAATATGTTTGTTCAATTAGACAAACACGTTGTTTACAATGAGATTGAAGAAGTAATCAATATTACTTTGAATATTTTATTGAATATGACAGAAATGATAGAATTTGATGTTGTGTTATATTCAGTGTGATGAATGAGACAGAATTCTCAATCGTTTTGCAAATCTTATTCCTCAATGCATACGATATACAGGTTTGTGTTGTTTGTATGAAGTAGGTTTGGCGTAACGAGGGAATTGACAAGTGTTCGTGACAATTAACTTCATAAAGCCGCTTTATCTACGGTTCAATGATATTGATTGAGACAGTAACTTAGGAATGCTAAAATAGTTAACTATTTCCATACATTCATACATACACTCTCGGCCATACCAGGTCATTTGGCAGCCTTGATAAAATATCACAACCATTGCATGAATCCTTCATTTGCGAATTTCCGTCATTTGTCCATTACATTCTGTATGATTCTTCCGTCCACACTCTCTTTCTTCCCTCATATTCTCATCAACTCGATCTTCGTAGCCTTCTGCTGTCAGGTTTTCCACTTCCGATCGGTGTTACAACTACTTATATCGACAGACAGAAGTAGTATACACCACAGCTGTATGATTTTTCATTCCACGTTACTCGTTTTTCCCATTGCTGACTTACGCTAGCTAGGGAAATTCTGATAAATATACAACAATCTATATTTCGCTACAATTCGGGACTCAATCACAGCTCTTCTTACATGCTATTGTTCACTCAGCCTTTCAGTCTTAAGACGTAATCTATGAAAATAAACCAATGAATCACAATCCAATAATTCGTGTCCTCAAAAATCAATCTCTTCGATGATGGATTACACATAGTTATCTTTGTGTTTCATCAAACAGAAGTACAAATTTTGGTTTTTGTTTTGAATAAATGAAATCTACACAGATTGAATACTGTGATATTTCGCTATTCACTCAATTAATCAATTGATTTAATCATGCAAATGTTGAATAGTAGTTCGATTGCTGTATCATTCTGAAGACATTGGTGTTATGCAGCTAATGTAATTTCGATTCGAATTATTCCACCAAAATCACAAGATTCTGTAAGTTTCCTTTCCTTAACAGTTCTGAATTGAAATTAATCTGGTCCTGACTGCCTTCAAACCTCAGTATTGTAGATATTCACGAATCGATCTGGAAGATTTCTTGGGAGGTCTATAGTGACATATATGGTTAGGGTGCTATCAAAAATGGCGATTCGATCTAAGGCAAAGTCGCAAATTTTTATTTTTAAAGTGAAGATGAACATGATGTCTGGGATCAACATCATCATCATCATCATCATCATCATCATCATCATCATCATCATCATCATCATCATCATCATCATCATCATCATCATCATCATCATCATCATCATCATCATCATCATCATCATCATCATCATCATCATCATCATCATCATCATCATCATCATCATCATCATCATCATCATCATCATCATCATCATCATCATCATCATCATCATCATCATCATCATCATCATCATCATCATCATCATCATCATCATCATCATCATCATCATCATCATCATCATCATCATCATCATCATCATCATCATCATCATCATCATCATCATCATCATCATCATCATCATCATCATCATCATCATCATCATCATCATCATCATCATCATCATCATCATCATCATCATCATCATCATCATCATCATCATCATCATCATCATCATCATCATCATCATCATCATCATCATCATCATCATCATCATCATCATCATCATCATCATCATCATCATCATCATCATCATCATCATCATCATCATCATCATCATCATCATCATCATCATCATCATCATCATCATCATCATCATCATCATCATCATCATCATCATCATCATCATCATCATCATCATCATCATCATCATCATCATCATCATCATCATCATCATCATCATCATCATCATCATCATCATCATCATCATCATCATCATCATCATCATCATCATCATCATCATCATCATCATCATCATCATCATCATCATCATCATCATCATCATCATCATCATCATCATCATCATCATCATCATCATCATCATCATCATCATCATCATCATCATCATCATCATCATCATCATCATCATCATCATCATCATCATCATCATCATCATCATCATCATCATCATCATCATCATCATCATCATCATCATCATCATCATCATCATCATCATCATCATCATCATCATCATCATCATCATCATCATCATCATCATCATCATCATCATCATCATCATCATCATCATCATCATCATCATCATCATCATCATCATCATCATCATCATCATCATCATCATCATCATCATCATCATCATCATCATCATCATCATCATCATCATCATCATCATCATCATCATCATCATCATCATCATCATCATCATCATCATCATCATCATCATCATCATCATCATCATCATCATCATCATCATCATCATCATCATCATCATCATCATCATCATCATCATCATCATCATCATCATCATCATCATCATCATCATCATCATCATCATCATCATCATCATCATCATCATCATCATCATCATCATCATCATCATCATCATCATCATCATCATCATCATCATCATCATCATCATCATCATCATCATCATCATCATCATCATCATCATCATCATCATCATCATCATCATCATCATCATCATCATCATCATCATCATCATCATCATCATCATCATCATCATCATCATCATCATCATCATCATCATCATCATCATCATCATCATCATCATCATCATCATCATCATCATCATCATCATCATCATCATCATCATCATCATCATCATCATCATCATCATCATCATCATCATCATCATCATCATCATCATCATCATCATCATCATCATCATCATCATCATCATCATCATCATCATCATCATCATCATCATCATCATCATCATCATCATCATCATCATCATCATCATCATCATCATCATCATCATCATCATCATCATCATCATCATCATCATCATCATCATCATCATCATCATCATCATCATCATCATCATCATCATCATCATCATCATCATCATCATCATCATCATCATCATCATCATCATCATCATCATCATCATCATCATCATCATCATCATCATCATCATCATCATCATCATCATCATCATCATCATCATCATCATCATCATCATCATCATCATCATCATCATCATCATCATCATCATCATCATCATCATCATCATCATCATCATCATCATCATCATCATCATCATCATCATCATCATCATCATCATCATCATCATCATCATCATCATCATCATCATCATCATCATCATCATCATCATCATCATCATCATCATCATCATCATCATCATCATCATCATCATCATCATCATCATCATCATCATCATCATCATCATCATCATCATCATCATCATCATCATCATCATCATCATCATCATCATCATCATCATCATCATCATCATCATCATCATCATCATCATCATCATCATCATCATCATCATCATCATCATCATCATCATCATCATCATCATCATCATCATCATCATCATCATCATCATCATCATCATCATCATCATCATCATCATCATCATCATCATCATCATCATCATCATCATCATCATCATCATCATCATCATCATCATCATCATCATCATCATCATCATCATCATCATCATCATCATCATCATCATCATCATCATCATCATCATCATCATCATCATCATCATCATCATCATCATCATCATCATCATCATCATCATCATCATCATCATCATCATCATCATCATCATCATCATCATCATCATCATCATCATCATCATCATCATCATCATCATCATCATCATCATCATCATCATCATCATCATCATCATCATCATCATCATCATCATCATCATCATCATCATCATCATCATCATCATCATCATCATCATCATCATCATCATCATCATCATCATCATCATCATCATCATCATCATCATCATCATCATCATCATCATCATCATCATCATCATCATCATCATCATCATCATCATCATCATCATCATCATCATCATCATCATCATCATCATCATCATCATCATCATCATCATCATCATCATCATCATCATCATCATCATCATCATCATCATCATCATCATCATCATCATCATCATCATCATCATCATCATCATCATCATCATCATCATCATCATCATCATCATCATCATCATCATCATCATCATCATCATCATCATCATCATCATCATCATCATCATCATCATCATCATCATCATCATCATCATCATCATCATCATCATCATCATCATCATCATCATCATCATCATCATCATCATCATCATCATCATCATCATCATCATCATCATCATCATCATCATCATCATCATCATCATCATCATCATCATCATCATCATCATCATCATCATCATCATCATCATCATCATCATCATCATCATCATCATCATCATCATCATCATCATCATCATCATCATCATCATCATCATCATCATCATCATCATCATCATCATCATCATCATCATCATCATCATCATCATCATCATCATCATCATCATCATCATCATCATCATCATCATCATCATCATCATCATCATCATCATCATCATCATCATCATCATCATCATCATCATCATCATCATCATCATCATCATCATCATCATCATCATCATCATCATCATCATCATCATCATCATCAACTTGAAATATAAATTTAACATTCATTATATGGATTATCATGAAGCTGTCCTTCCAGTTAATTGATTTCTAACGATCACACTGCATTTCACTCGATAAGATGATATTCAGCATTACAAACTGTGATCAAATATTGAGATTATAGAGAGAAGATCTGTTGCTCAGAAGGTTGGTGTTGATGATGATGTTTCTTTTGAACTGACTTATTGATGAGTTGCTCTGTAAAGATGGTCCTTCCATGTTCTATGTGCCGAGTACTTGGCATCTTTGTTGGAGCACAGGCGATTCAACTCCACCACAATGATCAGATATCATCGTCATCATCATTCATTGTTCATCTGTGTTGCTCAGTATAATCATTTCGTTTTTACTGCAGTTATTATTATTATTATTCACAAACATCTTATGGGTACATAAGTGTTGTGAAGAAACCATTTCGGGTTTCTTCAAAAAATGCAATAATACACAATTTTCAATAATGTTCGCATTATACTTGCCATATTAAAAAAAATTTAGAGTAATAATAGTAGAATATTATTAATAATAATTCGGGTCTGTGTAATTGAGAAGAATATTGAATTGAGTTTAAAGAAGGAAATGGAGAAAATAAGGGAATAGAAATAAAGGAGACGTGAAATACGCAAACAGTCTAATAGGCGTGTTTACGAACACAGAACAAGAACAAACGACTATGTTTGTATCGTCAAATTAGTAACAAAAAATAATTAAGAAAAAATAACTTATAATTGCAGTAAGATATGACGCTAGAATAAATGTTTGTGCAGTCATAGTTTGGAGTGATGCGATGAAAGTCTCAATTGAGTGAAAAGGATAATAAAATATCAATATGTATGAGTCATATATGCATAGTGAAGATAAAACGGGTCTGAGAAGTTAATTTAAGTGTAACACAAGTTATTGTTTAATTACAAACTTCGTAATCTTAAGAATATTTATTTAGAGGGAAAGAATGGAGTGAAAAGAAGTGAACACCTAGTGAAAAGTTTTGATCCATGATAAGAATAATAATTGTGTAATGAATATCAACCTCAGAAGGAAACCAACAATTAGAAAAATAAAATAAAAATCCTTAATGCACTCGGATGAATACATTTAGATTTATGTAATAGTATACAGAGTGAAACCGGATATTAGTATAAATATTTGTGCAATAATAATTAAGATTGATGCTATGAAAGTCAAAATTAATTTCAAAGGACAATCAGGAATTAAGATAAGAAGATATAAAAGGAATATCTAATGTGTCGGGGAACAATAATGATATTAATAACGGTAATAATGATAACACGAACATAAGCAGATTTCATATATTAAGATAAATAGAAATAAAATAAAATAGACGTGAAAGATTTAAAGGTTTTATTTTGCTTTTCAGGCAATTAAATGGATGACGGACCTTGTTTGTATAAATCATTATTGAATACATTGATATTCAATAGGTGACATAATCCACTTTCGGAAAGAAAATCGTCAAGGAGACTTTTGAACCGGGTTGTAGTTTCACTGCAACGGAGGTTCACTGGCAGTCTGTTCCACATGGTTGAGTAGCGAATAAGGAAAAAATTCTGACGTAAGTTTGTGTGGGTTCTTGGAATCGCTAGAATATTCTCCTTATTGCGTAGATTGTGGGATGATATCATAAGGTATGAAGGGGTGGATACCGAAGAGTAGGAAATACCGTTAATAAGCCGGTAGATAAAGACAAGATTTAACAAAGAGGTTCTAAGTTGAGTTGTTGACATCTTTGGTAATAGTCTTTGTTATCGGAATACCCAGAACAGCTTTGGTGAACTTTCTTTGAACACCTTCAATTCTAATCAGGTCATTATGTCTACAATTACTGTAAACTAAAATACCATATTCAAGAATGGGTAAGATACATTTTCTGTATAGTAACAATCTCGATTCGATATTATTGAAGTTTATCATTATCAATCCGATCAGCTTTCTAGCTTTGGATACTTGAGATATAATGTGTTCAGAAAAGTTCAGACTGTTGCTATATCTTAAACCCAGGTCACGAACAGTGTTAGAGGTTTGAGTGTATGTGTCTGTACAGTCAGATTTAAGTTAAGACAGCGACCAATGTGAATAAATCCACTTTTGTCAACATTAAGTGGCATATTCCACGAAATAGTCCATTCGTACAACTTGTTTATTTCCTCTTGGATTACCGCTGAAATATAGCTTTCTTTCATGGGAGAAGAGAATGAATAAACTACTTTCAGGTCATCAGCAAAAAGAAAAGGCTTACCATACTGAAAGAGGGAACACACATCATTGATAAAAAGGAGAAAGAGTAATGGACCAACCACACTTCCTTGTATAACCCCACTGGTTACATTCACAGGTTTAGAGTAGCAAGATCCAAAGCGAACGATTTGGCTACGTTCTTCTAAAAAAGATTTGAGCCAAGATAAAAGGGGATTCTGTATGCCAAATGAAGAGAGTTTTAAAAGAAGAAGTTTGTGTGAGACACTGTCGAAAGCCTTACTAAAATCGAAGTAAAGAATTATCACTGACTGACCAACATCTCTTTTCTGGGTAATTTGATCAAAAAACTCCAGGTGCGATGTGAAACATGAGCGTTTAGTCATAAACCCGTGTTGGGATGGGCTGATCAGACTAGCCGAAAGTAAAAATGATAGTAGCTGTTTGTGGATGATTTTTTCCATGGTTCTTGAGAGCACGGATGTCAAATTAATTGGCCTATAGTTAATAATATCACTACGTGGTCCTGTTTTGAATCTAGGGGTGATAAGGGATGTTTTCCATACAGATGGATAGGTCCCATATTCCATAGATAGATTGAAAAGTTTCAAACAAAATAGTGGAAATTCTCTACTTCCATATTTCACAAATGATGAAGGTATCCCGTCAGGTCCACCATCATAAGACTGCTTGATGTTGGAGGGTGTAAAATCAATTTTCGACAGATGTCTGGATGTCAGCATTGGAAATGTAATGATGGAGTTTTCAGTTCCAGTTTTGTAGCACTGCGAGAAGTGCTTGCTGAATTGTTCGCATATAGTATTCGGGTCGTTAACAATGCTTCCGTTAACTATGAAGAATTTAGTCGTGCCAAGGGAATTTGACTTTACACGGGATTTAAAAAGCCGAAGTATTGATAATTCTGGGCTTTTACTACGTAGAGCTTTATTTTCTATATTCATAAAATACTTACGTTTAGATGAAGCATTTCTGTTGATTAATTTAAGTATACTCTGAAGTGCATACACATCATTCTGCTCGTAGTAGCGGTGAAGTGACCCATTGATCTGACTCCATTTAGATTGTACGAATGACTGTTATCACCTATTCTCGTTTATCATCGTCGACTTAAATCGCGTTATCCAATAACGGAATTAAATAAGTCGAATAACGAGAATTGATTTGTGAATACATATATTTTGTACATGAAGCGAATGAAGCACAGCAAAGCAAAAACCACACGTATGGAAGATGGATGGGAAGCCAACTCCATGTTTGTCAAGCGTTACTCAATATTTATAGTCAGACAAAAGAAAGCTACAGACATGTGATTAATGGAATAAGAAGGGCACACACATATACGCTCATATAAAAACAGTCCAGATTGATAAGCGAATAAATAACAAGGTCAAAGTATAGCTCAAGCAGAATGAATAAAATGGGATGTCCAAAAGCTAGAATAAGGTATATGGGCTTGGCATAATAAGTGACACTACAGCAGCATTTCAATTTCCTCAGCTTTCTTTCAAAAGTATTTTGGCACCTATTAGCATTATAAGCCACACGGCCAATAACTGGAGCAGTGCAGTCAAGACAATATATCAGGTTGTGGTATAGATTGGAAAGCGCAATGTCAACATTATTTGTGGTAAAATAAGTTTCCCATGGTAAACATTGAATGAGAGTTCCAGTCCGTTTCCATGTTTGTTGATCAAAATGTCTGCTTTGGTACATCAATGAAGCTTTAGAGTTCAATTGTATGGCGTTTAAAGAGTGAATAATACTCAATACAACTCTATGGTCACTCATAAAAAACTCATGACTGGTATGCACTGAGATAGAGTCTATGTTGATTGTGAACATTAAATCAAGTGTATTATTCCCCCTGGTTGGTTTTCGGACCTGTTGAACCCATCCACAAATTTCTAATGTTTCAACTAGCTTGTTATATCGACCTGGTACCGGAGTCAAGCCCCATGTAATTTTTGGCAGATTAAAATCACCTCCGATGATTTTAAAAGTATGCGGTTGGTGCGAAGCAATGGAAAATATGTTTGTTAGTAATCTGTCAAACTTAGTATCCGCATGAGGTGGTCTATATATGCATCCCACCAGTAAATAATTTTGGGATCCACAGTTTACAGTAACCCAAGTGGAGTCGTCTATAGCATCAAGGGATTTATCCTCAAATTTGCACGCTTGAATGTCTGAACGGACATAGATAATTGTACCGCCTCCTATTCCATAACATCTATCGGTTCTAAAGAAAACGTAGTTATCTACATTCAAGGAATGATCGGATATAGATGAATTACACCACGTTTCCGTAATAAGTACAATGGTTGGATTAACAAGGAATAAAAGAGTTTTAAGATGAATAATTTTATTAGACAGAGAGCGGGCATTGAACGAAAGAATAAGAAACTCAGAGTCATCATAGTGAAGCAGGTTAGAGTATAAATCGCAATTGGTAGTTCCATGAATACTCATAGGATTAGCTAAGGTAAGAGTCGTGTTGCGAGGGGAAATAGATTCAACCACTTTGTCATCATGTGAAATATGTTTACCGTTGCCGGCAGGAAAGCCGGCGGAATTACAAAAAAATTCTTCCATTGCTATTGGATATAACATCTGATAAGGGATACTGTACATATTGGGAGCCGGACCAAGAAGGCTATCAGGTCTATGTGTGTGACCAAGTGGCCAATTACAATTCAGATAACTATTTATACCTGACGTATGGGTAACGTGTTTAAGACGTTTATTT